TCAAATATCCTTCATTGCAATGTGCATGATATAGGAAGTAGGTGAGAATTCGTAAATGCAGTCAATCAGCTTTCGTTCTTGCTAGTAAATATTGCATTTTGTGAACACTGATGTGAATATTAGGAGATTGGTTTTGCAGAGCGCTTCTTAAGGTAGGAGAATGTTCCTGCATTCTCCAACTTTTGTTGGTGGACTCCTGAGCACGGAATGTTTCTACTGGTTATCTTTCAATGAACCGAAATATTTCCGTTACCCTGATTGTTAAGCAGAGAAGGAACTCATGTCTCTTCTGAGATTCGAACCCACGTCACCCAGTGCTGGAGTCAGAGACGTTATCACTGAGCTATTGGGGCTCGCGACTGACCTTCTGTAGGGCTGTAATGGGTAGTTTGATCGGACACTAGTAACTAGTGTGACGTGTTTAGTCCTTTATTTGGTGCAGACTGAATTCTACTAGTCAGGTTTGCAATGTGGCCACCATTCTAGGTAGCTCACCATCACAGTGCACATTGATTTGATGATATTAGATAATTGGAGGCGCCAAACAAAAAACTAGGTACTTGGCACCAGTTACTTACTGTCTAGTGTCCAATAAAAGTTTCCAGTACATGAGGTCAGTCACCCCAAATGGCTCATTAGTAATGTTTCTGAGTGTTGAACTGGGTGACACGGGCTCGAATCTCAGAGAGGACATGAGTTGCTTCAAGACTGTAGATCTGCCGTACAGAATGGTGAGTGCACTTAAATACGAAACACAGGTGGGGGTCTTCCTACTGACTGCCTTCAACGATCTATCATTAGCAGAAGTTTATTTTCACAAGTTCTTAATACTATCAACTAACATAAACCGGTTCTCAGATGTGAACTAGAAGACTAGTCCGGCTTCGTGCAGTAGTAATTGTTAGCTTGATTATGCATGGGATTCATCAGGTTATTTTTGAGGTAGAAGTTAGAATTAGCGGGCCACCGAGTCTGGTCACAGTGATAGAGTGGTTAACTAGCTTGCGGGGTAACTGGAAGGTCCTGGGTTCGAAACCTTGTGGGTGCGCACTGTCGACGAGTCCCAAACTAGGACGAAACGACTGTCCAGTACTCCCCTTTGTTTTTACCGTGGTTCTTTAACTGATATCAAACCGTGGCCAAGCTTGGAAGTCTTATTCATTGCAACTAGATTATGAGAAACAAGATTACAGTAGCAGCGGAAAATATTGACGGACGATTTCTAAAAGACGAACTCCATACCTCGTGATCTGTTTGATAATGCTACACTTGACAGTGTTTAGCTTGTATATAAGGATATCTCACCTTCGACGGATTTAATTGTGTTTTTCTTCTTACTGAGTATTTCTTGATTCGTTTCAAGTTTAAATTTCCCTTCTTAATTTTTGTTGAACGAATATGAGATATTTACAAAATGCAAGTGTTTTTTCCAAAATAAGGTGAGGTCGCTGTCGTCTGTACCGTTGGTTTCTCTTCAGCTGCATAAAGTCTAAAAAGTTAATTGGGCATATATACAGAGACATTTTAACACACTTGCTGCAAGGGTCACATGGCTTTTCGTTAATAAAGACATAAAATTAATAAAAAGTGCTCAGTAGCAGATCAGTTGCATATTAGTGTGGTGATTTCATGTCAGGTCATGGAAATGAAAAACGGACAAACGAAATTAAGTTCTAGCAAAATTGACGGGTAGGTGTTGAAGCAAAGGAATGATGTGATCAAATGAGAGCAAGAGATTAGACGCTTAATTAACAGAGCAAGGAAAGATAGACAAGTGAATCTTTCAAAGCACATGATTCAAGTTTTTAACGTTTGACACCCGGTTACTTCCGGAAATGTGAGGAGAGTTGCATCCTATTTTCTGTCAATAATTTTGAAGGATTTCATGTTTTCCAACTCATGACCCGTATAAACATGATGTTTTGTAATAGTACTGTTCAAAGCATTTGTTCCCTTGAGACGTTAGCTTTTCAGTACATGTTCAGGGAATCTGAGATACGTCTTTTTTCCTGTCCTGCTAATGCAACTGCTAACACAGTCTTCCGCTGATTGTTCATGAAGTATTATAGCCCTCAAAATCTAGTTGAGTGAAAACAGACTTCTTATTTACTTTGGTTTGTTCTACATTTAGATTTTGATATCTTCCATAGTTGCTGATTAATTTCAATGCGTAAAAGTTAGTTTTCAAGAGTCTTTCAAGGCTCAGAACTACTTCTTCCAGTTTTGCGGTGCAACACATCCTTCTGGTTTTGTGAAACAGAGTTTCGACCAAAACTAGTTTATAGCTGATTTCTCAAAGACTGCTGAAATTTAAGTAAAGTCCAATCCACGTGGATTTTCGATGAATGGATCTTTGCAGACTTGCATCTTCCAAACTCTGTATGGTAATGTCAGCAAAAATGGAACTTTTTATCAATGCTATATGCCATAGTGAAGTCAATATTTCCATGAGCATCAGTGAATACTTGAAGTTGGTGAGATGCATGATTACATAAGCGTAATCAACATATTGATAATAGGAGGTTTTTTCATCGATTGCACCCTGTAGCTTTGTTATCTCAAGCTTAGGCATGAAAATGTCTACTAGTATAGGACCTAGTGGACCATCCATAACTACACCATCTATTTGACGATAAACCGTATTATCGAACTAGAATTGTACATTCATAATGCAGATTAGTAGTAGATTTTTAAATTCTGGTGCTGGGAAGGGTAGAGGCTCAGACCACTGGCAGATAATATCGATAGTTTCATAAACAGAGAGGTTACATCAAATGATACCACGAACTTATTTGCAACATCGAGGCATATTCTTCAACGACTGTCTGCGTGTATACAGTTAAAGATTCATTTGATTTTTTGTTTCGAAAGCCTGTGCAACATAAATGTTTGCTGCCTTTGTGCTTCTGTTAATCGGAAGTCATGTGACCCTTGCAGCAAAAATGTTGAAATTCTTCCACATATATACTGAGTTAACTTTTTAGGTTGCAAGCAGTTGAAGAGAAATTTGCATACAAAAGTACTTGGACAATACAAGATACATATTTCCACACCTTTGTTCCTCTCAATACAAAAACAATTTAGTGAAGACCCTCAGCCACAGAGTTAGAGCTATATGCTCAGAAAAAGTAATTGAAGATGGATTAAGCATTGTATATGATACTTTGATCGAAAATAGCTATGCCGAAAAATTTATCAAGAAACACATGACAACGAAAGCGGAAAAAGCCTACTCACTATCTGTAAACAAGAAGCCACTCTATATACGACTACAATTCATGGGCGATATACCAAGTTAAATAATTACGAGGAAATTAAGAAAATCAGTTCATAGAACTATTAATGCTGGTGAAGTAAACGTCTTATTCTCTACACGACCGATGATGCTACCACGATTGAATGAAAGAAGTACATAGGCTAGCCGCTTCAAATTGTATCTACCAATGGAACTGCGCTTGTCGTCGAACAAGTTATATCAGCCGTTGCTCTAGAAACTTGATTTTTTCTGTTCAAGAACATCTTCAACTATGGCTTGTTAAAGGTGTAGTGATATTAGATCGACATTAGACCGTCTGCTGCAAACCGGCCACAAAGCCATCATTGAAGAATCCTTCTCTATCATCTACCAGGTGCTTAATAAATTGCCAAAAACATCGAAGCACCGCATGCTCTAAACAGCAGAGGCGATTGCAATTCACCTCAAACAACCAGAAGTCCGTGTGCAAAAGAAACAAGTCCAGCTCCTTCTACTGCTATGATCGGCCTTTAGTAGAGACTATAAATTCATAAATTTGTAATATATTATCTTTCCTAATTTTTCTGATATTCACTGTGTAGTGTTATGTTATACTATCGAACTGTAATCCATTGATATTAGTATTATTGATTCGATGTTATTTAAACAGCAATATTAATGTTGTTCATAACACTAATTGATTCATTCACTATTATATGTATGCATAACTGTAGAACCTGCTGATGATGAAGTTATCGAAAAGGGTATTCTTTGTTCAGTATCCAGTCTTTTGTAAAAGTTGAAGAGAAACCAACAGAATAGAAGATGATGTTGGTCCCATCTTATTTTGCACAATCATTTATTTCTACTTTAATAAAATTCATAAAGGAGAATAAGTGTATAAAGAATATGTGATGATAATTACTTCGAAGCAATTTCTTAAAACATTTTTACTTACTAGATTCTAGGTTTCTTTTAAATAAAATAAATAAGATCAAACTAATAATAATCCCGATCAGAACTGAACGTTTTTGCTTTACAAAAATACATTCAGTTCATTCCTAAACTGTCAATTAACACAGTTTTAATAAACACATATTATAGAGATATAGAAATTACAAGAGTGAATGCATTAAAATACAAACACACACACACACACACACACGAAGTCAGAGTTACTTGACTACATTCACAAATCAAATTTTTAACTATTTGACTTTTTAATCTACTCAACACTTACTTATTAAGTGAACCGCTTACTCAAAGCGACATAAACTAGTGAGTAACTCTTTTTTTTAATATAGTAAGTCATATAGTTAGTGATCAACCTGCTAGTGTCTTTCTTATTCAATAATTTTACCTTCAACTAAAAAAAAACGCTGAAACATTTTGAGTACTTGGTATTTCGATGTGTCATTTTGATAACTATGACTCTTAAAACTATTTTCTACCTGTTTAAAATGACCCACACATATTTGAGCGTGTGTGTGTGTGTGTGTTAACTTATCATACTCAATTGGTCATTTATCATAGTAATGCGAACAGTAGAAAGTATTCACACTTCAACTCAAAATCCTATTTACATCACAAACACTTTAAATATTCAATCAGAAATTGCGCTGAATTCAAAAATGAGATAAGCAGCTTTCTTTTTTTCTATCTGGTTTTAAGACTATACCTTTTGGCGTAGATATATAAATAAACAAAAAAAAAGAAAATACGGTGTCTACTCATTATACTCTTCTCATCAATAAACATCATCAGAATGAAAAACGGTCAACCAAAGACGGTGACAGATCCAACACAAGCATTTCTACAGACATTTTTTGAAATAGACAAATATAAAGATGAAGTTGTTACTAAGAATCAGGTGAATGGTTATGCAGAGACTAAGAAATGGGATAAAGAAATTGTTCAGGTTAGTCAGTGTGAGACTTTTTCCCTGTTCCTTTATGTTTGCGTTTCCAGTGCTGGAACATAGGGCTTCAAGCTAGAGCTTTGAAGTTTTGTAGTAGTGGTGTTTATTTTTATGGGATGAGGTTGGTAGCCCCAACCTTACCTCTTCGCCAGTCTTATTTCTGACTTAGCGAGATAAACGAGTGTGTCTGTGGCAGGGGAATCAAACCATAAACTACGTGGATGTTTGGTGAGCATTCTACTGATGTGTCACCGACACACAGTATTTATTCACATAATATTTATGTTGGTTTACCTTCCCTTGTCACTCTTTATTATTCCAATAATTAAATTATCTCAACAAGAAAACACACTCCATTTTTCATGTTAAGGCTTCCAGTTTGAATTTGACGACTGATATTTCTATTAGACATGTTTGTCTGTTTAGTGAATGTTGTGGAGAAGAGTCTTCACCGACTTCTGAATTTCCTACTTATCAGAATTCTTTTAAAGAACTCAGACATACTCGCAATAAGTCCCGGGCTGTTTACTGGTTGCATTGTTATTTTGGGAACAGCATGTTTTGCTTACTGGGGCTCGAGTCTCTCTTTATTTTATCTTCCTACATGACTTCACTTTTTCGGGAGAAATCCACTTCTTTAAATATGCTGATGATCTGACTGTCTCGCTAACAGTTACGCTCCAATATGACTGTTCTAAATTTAATAGCTTCTTGACTGACGTAAGGTAGTCATCCAAGCTAAGTGGTCTTACGTTAAATCCCTTCAAGAATAAACATAATCTATGTCAGTTGGTTCGTCCACAAGATACTTGTCGAATAAATTCACTGGATTAAAAGCCAAGCCAAGAGTCAAATACCTTTGATTAGTTCCATCCTCTGACGTTTCTCCGTTATCTCAATATCCTGTCAACTTTTAAAAAATTGTTCCATCGAACCTTCTACATTAGGAAGTTAAGACAGTCAGGTAGGTACCTCTACTTTTATAGTTTGTTAACTCTTCCATCTCACCTATTGTTCTTTATTTCTCCCAGTTAGTCTTTCCTAGTCTACTCAAAAGGTAATATGTCATGCTGAAAGGGATATTAAAGGTTGTCACCAAAGTGTGTAGTGTGTCACTACACCATCTTGTTACCACTGTAGCCGACATACGCCTGAACTCTCCCCTTATATCTCATTAGGTAGGACCAGAAGTCATTATAAAAGATTGTATGCTCGCACGACTAAGCATAAAAACTATACAATACCGTACTTGGCCTATGTTCTACATGACAAGGAAAGTGTTAAGTGTGAAGCACAACTTACTATGTACTTAGCAAAATAAATGGCTCTTTGATCTTCTCCTATTTGTAATTTATGATGACACTTTTTCAATTATCTTATAATTTTAATTGACATTATTATTAAAACTCTAATTTTTTGCACATTTTTGTATTTATTGTTACTGGTAATGCCAAAAGGCTTGCTACTATCCCTTTGCATTGTTGAGTAAATTAGACGCAGTATTGTACCAAGTCGACTGTATTGTAAGTTTAAAATCTGCAGAAAAATGTCAACTAACCCAGATTTAGTTCCGGCAGAACTCCTCAATTAAACCTTCTGTATATAGTGTTATGCACACTATAAGAAATGCATAAAGAGATATATGACCAATAAGCTAGAGTGTGTAAGGAATGTGAAATGAAAGACGACAATGTTTCGCAGGACAAGTTCAAGTAGATTGGAGGTGGATAGGATGTGAGAATTTAAAAGTTAGGATGACATTCAGGTAACTGCAGTAAACTATTCGTTATCAGAGAGAACACCAAAATGTTAGGAACTGCAAAGTGAATAATAATAATAATAATAATAATAATAATAATAATAGTAATATTGATAACAGTGAAACAAGCTAAAATAATGGTACATGTAACATTGTACGTTTGTGACTTCGGCTACTGACAAGTTTATAAGTAGTATTTCGGTAAATACATAAATATGTATATCATTTGCAACAATATCTAATCGAGGAGAGATGGATGGATTTTATCATGAAGAGAAGAAATGAACAGTGCTTGTTAAAGAGCATTGAAAACTTGGAAAGAAGACAGGAAAGCACATTGCGGAAGATAAAAGTGGCACAATACAGAAGATATGCACAAACTGTGATTCTATTCTATATAGTAGACGTATTTTGCCGATATATATGTATCGAGTCGCTTATATGTTATTCCGTTGTCATATTGTCTTGTGTTCTGTTGTTACATGTATTGAGTCAAGGGACTCTACCAAAATTTGAGAGTGGCTTTATTGCATAGATCTGCTAATTGTGACGTAGTTGCTCGTTGCTATGGTAGTTTGATGGAGAGTTGGGCTTTTCATATATTTTTAAAATGATATTATGCATTAAAACATATATCCAGAGCACATATTATTGGTGTCAAAATATTCTCAAAATGAGTTACATTTGCTGCACTTTTATCAGAAAATATTTCTAGGTAGTGATATCTGTGCAATGTTGTAGTGGATTAAAGGGGGCAGTTAACCTTACTTTATTGAATTTTTATGAGATCATGCTGGTATATTTTGACCTGTTTACAGAAACTCACTAACGTCCATTAGTTAAAGATGCCACCGCTTTGAAAAGGGGATATGACATATAATCGCCCAAAATTTGATTTTTTTTCATGAAATCTTACTTTGTCAACTTTTAGGATTTCATCATGAACTGACATTGGTTAGAGGACCATTGGAAAACTTGGGAGTACTGGACAACTGCTTCGTCCTAGTTTAGGACTCTTCATCAGTACGCACCCAAAGAGGTTCAAAGTCAGGACCTTTGCCGAACAAGTCCAGTTCATAGACCATTACGAAGTCCTGAAACCTATCAAATCCCTGCAAACTAACACTTCAATATTAATCCGATGGTCATTAGCGACTAGCCATACTCAAGTCGGTAGTAGCCTGGGTTCTAGTGGGAAGTCGTAAACATTAAGGTAAGGCAGGTTGGGTGTGGGGACAGATACTCGCTACCAACGACATTCGTCAGTGGTCGCACCATATCATAGATTGGCAGAAGTTGGAATTCATGGACTGACCATTGGATCAGGTCCAAGTGGCTAAATGGTCTATGAGCTCGCCTTGGAACTAGAAGTTCCTGGGTTTGAACCTTGGTTGTGGGTGTGTACTGCTCAAGATTCTCAAAGTAGGACGAAACAGCTGTCCAGCACTCCCTAAAAGTTTTCTAATGGTCGTTTTACCGATGTCAACTCATGATAAAATCCTGAAGAAAATTAAATCAAATCCATGCGAACCAACACTTCTCCATTAACTTTTCTCTGTTGTATGTTGAGTGAAATTGAGTCCGAATTATATTAGTAAAAAATTACGGCGTACCTTGATCTGACATTAACAGGTATATTTACAAAATCTGTGGTCCTAAGTGTCTCTTTTCTCCTCGTAATCACCTATCTCATTGTTGTTATTTCAGAAATGGACGAACCTATTCAGATCAAGGAATAGTGATCGTATAACCCTGGAAAATATTTGTGATTATCTTCGACTGAACATAAAAGAAGTGTAAGCATTGTTAAAATTTGCACTTAAATAATAATAAAAGATGAAATTTTTACCTGTCAGAAATAATCTTTGTCAGCATAGGCCTTCAGATTCATTTGAATTCGTTGATTCAGTAAGTGATGCCAATGTATCCGAGAAGAAAATGATATCTCTGGATGTTACATCTGTCTTCATTAATGTTCCTCTCACTGAAATTATTTGCTTTATATGCAAATCCATCGAGGATAATAATGTAGACGTGAGTATTTCGACTCACTACTTTAAGGAACTACTTCTGCGATGCACGTTCAATGTCCAGTTCGAGTTTAACAACACACTCTACAGACAGAGAAATGGAATGGCAATGGGGTCACCATTCAGGAGAATGGCTTTATGCTATCTGGTTCACGTCGGAATTCCATTTTTTGGATGTTCAGCATAGTAGGAGATCTGAAGGTTCTTTTCACAGATCAATCTACAAGAAATCAGCACGGAAAGGGCAATATATGAGTATTCATAGTTAGGTGCTTTGCAAGAAAAGAGAAATCTGATCCGCTACTTATCCTCAAGACTAAAAATGATATGTACCAGTTATTCAGTCCACGGTGAACAAGACAGACTCAGATGAGTCCTTATGAAAAACGGACAACCTTCAAAATTCATCGAGAAAAAAATGAAAGTGATGCAAAAACCGGAAATAACCTAGAGAACTGCTTGATAAACTGCCGTTCATGAACGTCGAATTTAAAGGTGATACAACAGCTGAGATTCTGAAGAAACGTCTATCCAGATCACTGAGAAAAGGATTCTTTTAGGCTGAGCTATGGGTCAATTTCTACAGCCGACAAATGATCAACGGATATGTGAATATTAAACTGTCGTTTCGGGCCACTACAGTGTATGTTTATAATATTTCTTTATTTTTCAGGATTCATAATTTTATTTCGACGGCTCAGATTCACAATTCATATATTAGTTAGCGATCTGCAATGTACACAGTTCCATAGATGAAACTTTTACCAAAGTTTCCTTTGAAAACCAAATTATTTAGATCGCAATCTGTGACTGCCAGAAGTCGTCACCAAAAACGCAAGCGATATTTGCAGAAAACCACATACTACTGATTGATTTGTATCAGTAGTTGTATAACGCTCATATCAATAGTAATTGCGTCAGTGATTCACTGGTAAAACACTGGTCAACCACGTTGGTTGTCTGGGGTTCGAATCCCGGTTGGCACATTCCTTTACTTCCATTAGCTGGTAGTCGGCTAGATAGAGATGGAAGGTTGGGTGCAAGGTTAGCAATCCTACCCCGTAAAAAAAACACTACCGCTACTGAAACTATGAGAGCTCTAGCTTGAAATTCCATGTTCCACTGGAGACGGTAAGGGACAAAATTAATAATAAGACAATAATAATAGCTTTATTTTGGACAGTGCCTATATAATGTACAGAAATCTCAGTGGATAATAGCATATCTTTGTGCGGAATCTTCAGATGTAACATTAACTACAGTAGATCATGTAACCCAGCGCAACCCATCCATTCTGATATCAACCTACTCAGAGAAATACACGACGCTTCCTTCGACGCCAATTATAAAAATTTCACGAGTGCTTCCTTCTGGATCAAGGATATAACCCAGGAGCAGTTATCGCACGCAGTGGGATATGTTACTACCCAGGATTGTGTTTTTCCTCATGTTTCGTGGAAACTTGTGAATCAGCAGGTTGTCAGCATTTGAAATAATGGCGAGAGCAAATACTACTATTACAGGTCATGTTTTATTAGAATTAAATAAACGCAACAAGATAAATTATATGCAATAGATTACTTACTATAAACACTGGGGCATGCTAGCCAAATCATGGTGATCTGCACACCACGAGAAGGCCTCGTGCATGTAAGATCGTGCTCATCAGCGGTGCATTCAATTATGTAAAATTTAACCGTTGGAAATGTCTACTTCCGAAGTCAATAAATAATATCTATCTATCTATCTATCTATCTATCTATCTATCTATCTATCTATCTATCTATCTATCTATCTATCTATCTATCTATCTATCTATCTATCTATCTATCTATCTATCTATCTATCTATCTATCTATCTATCTATCTATCTATCTATCTATCTATCTATCTATCTATCTATCTATCTATCTATCTATCTATCTATCTATCTATCTATCTATCTATCTATCTATCTATCTATCTATCTATCTATCTATCTATCTATCTATCTATCTATCTATCTATCTATCTATCTATCTCTCTATCTGTCCCTTTTTTTATTATGGCTGTTGGGAGGCTTTTAATTCATAACTTCGTATGTTTTTCTTGTGTTACTGCCTTTTATATATGGTGTTTATCATTGATTAAACTCTTTTCCACTTTTTTGTAGTCGTAAACAACGTGATGCACCAGTGACCTCTGAGAAATCGCCAATATCCTACAGTGATAATAAACAACTTGGCTCAGATATAGAAGTTATCATTGATCAGATGCCAATGGATATGAAAATTCCTATTGTTAATGAATTTCGTAGAGTGCTTAGTAAGAATAATAATGATAAAACAGAATTTGACGGAATAAAGGCAACAGAGCATATGAAAAATTTTATGGACAAACGATTTTCATCCTCATGGGTAGCACTCATAGTAAAAGGTTCATATACGGCAACATTTGTATACTTTGAAGAGTGTTCATTTCAATTTCGTATAAATAATTATAATTGTATTGTATGGAGAACATTTATTGGATTTCATTAAATAAAATAATAAAAGTTATTGAACGTTTTGAGAAGAATAGGGTTTTTCCTTACTCGTCTCAATCATAATTTTCCGGCTTTTTCGTTTTATAAAACTCACCTCATGGTAAGGTTTGTGAAGCTTGTTTATAAAATGAACGTCTTCTGATAAATTGTAAGAAGACGGAGAGTTTCTTTATCTAATGGATCATATCAAGAGGTGAATACTTGGGATTTCTGCTTCGCTGAGCTTGACCGTAGTTTTCAACTGTTTGTTTCCCTCTTTTCAAACGTTCAAGTTCTGTCTCTCTAAGTGAGTATTATGATTTCAGATCGTTGCAATACCTACATTTGAGTTTGCCTGCTTTAGAATTTCCGCAATCATTTGACTATGTCAGTGACAACCTAATTGATTCGAACAGGTAGTTATAGGTAAAATCATTAAAATAGCTTGACATCTCATCCTTATGGGAGATAGTGTTTATTGCTGAATGCCATAATGTTTAGAATCGATAAACCACGATTTTCAGTATAGCGAAAATATTCATTCAAACATTTATAAAACGCAAAATAAACCACGTTTTGGATTTCTCTGTATTTTATGTGATAATCTTAGAGACATTTTGTAACATACTCCTTGATTAATGATTATTAAGACGTGTTTTAGGTAAGATAAAGCGATATCAGGTAATTTCTGTAGGCTTTCTATTCACACGTTGAGAAAACATATCAATAAATAGTTAGAAGAAGTATGTTCCTTTTCAGTTAGCTTTTCATCATCGGTTGCAAACTAATAGATGGTTTTTGACCTCGAAATCACACCAGTTATGCGGCTATTTTAGTCAACAGGAATTGTCAGCTTTAGGTATAGGGAAGGGTCGAAAATAAGATATAAAAGGTCATCAGAACAACTAGCTAGTAAATGTTGACAGCAAGATATCTAAGCTTTGAAGGAACGGTGGAAATAATGATGGAATTCAGGATCAGTTAATTCGTAGGGAATAGCAACAGTTATTATCAACATTATCCCCTTGAGTTTCGAGTGGAACGTAGGGCTTCAGCAACACATTACCACTTTCTCCTATCGTCGGCTTTCCTCTTCAGCTGGGTCGATGATTGCCCAAATTATCTCACCTCCTCCTCACACGATCTCCTCCTTGTCACCGTCTCACCGACGACCCATTCGTCGCTTCCCCTTGGGATTTCACTCGAGCAATGGTCTGCATTAAGCGCGATGTCATTCGGCGGCCTCCACAGCGTATGTCCGATCAACCGATCCTCATTCTCTCCTACATATTTGTTGAGCGATCGGTTCTTGCCTGTTGGTTTGTTCCCACACTTCCTTGTTACCTATTCTTTCTGGCCACCAACGTTCTCACCTGGCTTCACGTCTGCCCACATGCTTTCATCCCCTCTTCACATGACTTCCTCTTAGTCATCCTCACACCGACGACCAACTAACTCACCACTTCCCTTCCGGGTTTCATTCGTGTGATGGCCTGGCATGTGATGTCACTTGATGGCTTGTTTTCTCAAAGTATGGCCAATCCACCTACATTTCTTCCTGCATATTTGTTGCATAATCAGTTCCTAGTTAGTTTGCTCCCAAAAATCCCTGTTGCTGATCTTTTATGGCTGGCCATCTGATCCTGAACGAAGTATTCAGGGAAGACAGCTGTTGATGAAGGTATGTAATTTGTTCGAAGTGCCTTTCGCGACGCGGCGCCAAGTCTCTTATCCGTATAGTAGCACTAGCTTTATATTGGAGTTGAAAATCCTGATCTTGTTTTCTGTGCTGAGGAGTGCTGTTGACCTCCACACAAGCTTGAGAGTAATGAATGCTTGCCTGGCTTTTCGATCCTTGATTTGATATCTTAATCAGTTCCGTCCGCCTGTAGTTGAAACGATGCTTCCCAGGTGGGTAGGTAAAGGAGGTTGCATCTTTCAGATTTCTCCAACTTATTCTGGCTTATTGTTGTCTGTTGTTATTTCTGTCGCTGCTGGCCAGGCATCTTCATCATCTCTGTCTTCTCTGTGTTCACCTGAAATCCCATCTTCTCTGGATGCTTCTACAGCCAACTTACTGCTTTCCACTTGCTTATCTATCAGTTTGTGGGAAGTCAGACATATATCATCGGCGAAGTCCAGATCCTCCAAGTATTTTGCGTGGGTACTAGTGCCGAATCAAAAATATCCAATACGGTTCTACAGAAGGTTAAGCGTGAGCCCGAATAGCTCAGTGATAACGTCTATGGCTGCAGCACTGGGTGACGTGGGTTCGAATCTCAGTAGGGGAATGAGCTCCTTCAAGGTTGCAGATACGCCTTTCTGACTGGTAATTACCAACTAGCACAAAACCTGGGTCAAGCATGGCTTCCTGCCGATTGCCTACAACCGTCTAAGACTAACCATCTACTCCATTTATTCAATTTTCGATTAAATATAAGTAATTTTCGTGCAATCAACTTATCAGATACATACTTAAACCCTAGATTATACTACCGATTTTCTTTCTGAATGAATTCGTTTTAATCGACGTTCACCGGTTTAACATTCTTCTAAAAACTAAATTTCCCTCGTCTCTTGAATTTACACGTGGTAAACAGATATCTGTCATCCTATGATTTATGAGCCTAAACAGTGAATTGTCTAACATACTCCATCTTTTATAGTGTCTTCCTCACAGACTGGGCTGTTCTTTTGAGAAGTCATAACTAGCGGGGTTTTTCAGGCCAGGTAAAAAATCAATTACGCGCCTATGACATTGGCTGGCGGTTGCAGTATACATATCATGAATTAGCAACAGCTGTGACTCATGAACTATTGGATCGGGTCCCTATGGCTGAACGGTCTATTAACTCGGACTGTAATCAGAATGTCCTTGGATTGAACTCCTGTTGTGGGTGCTTACTGACGAAGAGCCCCAAACTAGGACAAAACAGCTGTATGGTACTCCCAGATTTTCTAGTGATTCTCTAACTGATGTCGACTTGAAGTCAAACTTGTAATCAATCGAATCCCTACAAAGTGACACTTGATATTGCAATGATTCTCACTCGAGATTCGATTTTGTCACAGTACAGCCTGGAGAGTATTCACGTCATTAAAGCTGATAGTTCACAATGTAAGAACACTGAATTTCGAAACTGTTCTGTCTTTTGAAATACTTTCAACATTGCATATAAAACTATTTCTCTAATCGACACATTATAAGCACATTTATGTGATAATTTTCATCATTCGTACGTTAAAAGCAGAAATTTCTATTTATAGAGAGACAATAAGAATAACTTAAAGAAGTTAGTATAGCTCAACCGATTTGTATTTACTAGAGATGATCTTGTTAGAAAATGGGTTCACTGTCAGGGTTATGATGAATTAAATAGTATGTCTTTTTTCTAAAAATAAAAGCCCATAACGGGAGTAAAGATGTCTTAATTTTTAAATCCTTTGTTACAGTTGGCCTGTCGATACAAAAAGATAAGGGTTTCATGCAGTCCTGACTATCATAGGTAAAGCCGGTCGATTGAACTAAATGACTGTCATGATTTCTACGAAATGAAAAACTCTCTGGTATTATTCGCTTCTTTAGGAAACCGATCGTTGTCCAGATCACTCACCAGGGATGTTTCTTACTTCTAAACTGAATGATAGATTTGAATTTTGACCAAGGATTGATGTCATTCAGAGAATCATTGAGCACCAGGGACCTCTGTCTCGTCATGGTTCGAGTCTCTTTGTTGGTATGAATCAGCCAAAGGTCGAACTCAGGACCTTCAAGTTACAAGTCAAGCTAGTACACCATTTAACAAATGGGAACCGATTCAACCACCATTGAATGCCAACTTCTATAAATTTGTGATTTCAGCACGACTACCAATCATTGTCACCAGTAAGTATTTGTCGTCACGCCCAACCTGTTACGGCTTCTCACTGGAACTTCAGTCAGCTTCGTCCTATAGCCAGTCAATAGCAAGCATCAGATTAATTTTTAAGATTTCATTTGTAGGGATTTGATTCATTTCAAGTTTTGATAAGGGATTGATATCAGGAAGAAAACTACAGAGAACGAGGGAATCGGTAGAAGTCGGAATTCATGGACTGGATGTTGAGTCAATTCTCAATGCCTGAATGGCTAAAGAGCCTCTTCCAAACCAGTGGGAAGAGATAGCTGTCCACTACTCCCAAGTTTCCCAGGGTTTTTTAACTAGTGTCAGCTCGTGAAGAAACTTCAAACAAATCAAACCCCAGCAAAATAACTCTGAAAGGATATTTGTTTGAATACCAGTGAGGATAGGAATTTCTTCAAGGTTGTTACTTATGGGCATCAACAAACACAATACACAATACCTATTGGGTGACGCTTAAAATCCAACACTTGACCATATCATAGGCAATATAAAATTAAAAGAAATATGCGGAGATTTAAATTTCTTGAAGTGCGTTATAGTCTGACTTCTTTCTGCTGGCGATTCCTTATTCCTTTTCACCTCAAGTGGAAGGTAAGGCTTTATAATCTTATAAATTTCAATAGCAACTGTGTCACTTTTACGAGGTGGAGTTGGCGAATTCATGAGAAAATTTCTGTCTTCTCCGTGTTAATTACCTGCAAACTAGCGAAGTTTAGGAGTGCGTAGGATGGGAATCAAACGCATATGTCCTAAGTGGATGGCAATTATTCCGCGTCAATTCTGATATTAAAAATTATTCTGAATAAAATGTCCTTCCGGAACGATTATGTAACAGGATTTAAATATGGGGTGTTTTTTCCACATTTACTTAAGTTAGTTTTCTTGCAGCTCGATTACTCCAGGAAAGCAACCATTTTTGCAAACCTTTTCAGCCACCGATAACACACCAAGTAATGTAAAGCTTTTCATACAATAAGTAAGGGAAGAACTTAAAATGTTGTTTGATATAGTGCATGGAGGATTACTAATCTGGTCTCTACCATGTAACCACTTCATTTTTTCATTTTGTTATATTTTCATACTACTATTTTGCTTATTCAGTACGTTGTTCATTGCG